AACAGAGATGTTTTCTAATGGACAAGTCTATGGACTTGAATGTAGAAATGGAGCGTGAATCACGGTCGTCACAGAGCGAATGAATTAAAATAACAACTCAGAATTAAATAGAATCAGTTAGAATGTAATTAGAACGAGAGGAAACCTTTCCGTGATTGATTTGTCTTGCTTATTAGGATTAATGCAATTCAACATGGCAAATTGTAAGTTGGAAATGTTAATTGTTTGGATTTAAATTTTCAACAGTGCACGTATAGCTAGCTCCCTAGATGACAGATTGATAGATGAATAGGTAAATGGATGGATGATAAGCTGATATAGAAGATAGATCAATGGATGATGGATGGATGGATGGATAGATAGATATAAATGGATCGACACACGTAGATCATATTCAATTCGCTTCCACAAGTGTACACAATTATTACTTGTTAATTAAAAAGTCAACAACACGAATCTTCCTGTTGCTAATTTCATTGACCTCTTGACTTTAAGTTGATCTTATTTTCAGTGTATTCTATTTAATAACTTCCCTTTAGACTCTGAAAATCTTGTTTTCTTTTTTAAATGAAGTCTACTCTACCATCAGGGCCTTTGTATTTCTTGCCACCAGTTTTCTGTTTTCTGCCTTATTTTCTTGAAACTTTGTACTGGCTTTGGTGTCTTTCTGTATTTCCTCTACATTTTCTACCATGTTTTGAAAACCTCTGCTACTTCTTCAATTACTGCCTTCACAAGAAGAAAACAAAACCAAACAGAAGCTTCTTTTCTTTCTTTTAAGGGCTGAGTTTCCTCGCAAGCTGGAAGATCTGTATAAAACGTTAATATATATAAATTGCATAATATTTTCTGCTGTCATGTTTTGGCATCTCTACTGTGGTCCAATCCAAAGAAAGTTCTCCAACGTCCACTATCCAAATTTCCTCCGACTTCTAGAAACCCCTTGGTGAGCTATGCAATTTTCTAACATTTGCCCCAATCAGGAAGCTCCAAGTGTTCTTGTATCTCTTTCTCTTCTCTTCCTCTCCTCTGGAATGTTCCATCAATTCTGCCTCCTCTACACTGATTCGTATCCATTATAGGTCAATGATATTCTTCAAATGGGTTTTTTTTTTCTTCCTCCCAATACTTGACATCTAATACGCTTGGCTCATTTTCTCCTCTCAGAAAAATCCATCCTGTATCCTGATTCCAGAAAAATCCACAGACACTTTATAAATCTGTCCACACGTTGCCCGAGCTAGGTCACTTTCTGTGGCGCAAATCCATAATTCCTTTGTGACTCACGGAGCCCCGAACCCCACAACCCCCAACCAAAATTGGACTGTTCTTTTCCAACATAGAGAGTTGGTCACTATTCAGTCAGTCATTATTCTCTGAACAGTCAGGAAATTTCCACAAATAGAATTCAATTTCTTTGTGCAGATTTGCTTATTTTTTTTTCTTGGAAAGAATTACCTCTCTCTCTCTCTCTGTGTCTCTCTGTCTCTCTGTCTCTGTCTCTGTCTCTCTCTCTCTGTCTCTCTGTCTCTGTCTCTCTCTCTCTCTGTCTCTCTGTCTCTGTCTCTGTCTCTCTCTCTCTGTCTCTTTTACTGGGAGCTTATGTAGCGCTCACAACTTACTTATCCTGTAATAGATAACATTCTGTGGAGAACATTGAGTAGAGAACATTGCTTTTTATGTTGTTTTTTGGGGGGGGGGAGGGAGGGTGTCATGATGACTTATATTTTTAGGACTTATTTCTTCCTTTTCCCATTCAGGTCATTACCATTTTCCCTGTACATATATTTTGGATCATTCGTTCTCATCAAACATCACATTAGCCATTCTCGTATATGGGAGTTTCTATGTAAATGTCTTCCAATTCCGTATTCTGTTCTTGCTTCTCATATGCTCATCGAGATTGGCTTCAGTATCAATTAATCACTACTGTAAACAGTGATTTGGTACATATATATATATATATAATTTTTTTGGAGCTTTCCAAACTGAAGTCACTGCTTGGGAAATATATCACTTTTCTTCCTGCAAAATGCTAAATTTATATTCGTGGGGCGGAGGGGTGCAAATCCTGGCATGCCATCCTGTTTTTATTTAAATTCCTGGTGCAATTCTCCGTTGCCTACCCAGTATTGCTATTTTTCAATGAAGCCTCTCCTTGCACGGACATTTAATTCCCTGCCTTAATTCCTACTTGCGACTAGCAATGGGTGAGCTGAGCTTCAGAATTCAGGAAAAAAAATAGCAGCCATCACCCTTGAACCATAGACCTTGGGCCTGGCTCTCTAATTCCAGTGGCTTTTCTTTTCCTTCTGGAAGCACCAGCATCTAGCTAGCCCTCTGTAGGAGCTTAATAAGTGAACGCATGAGCAACCCCTGGCCCAGCCTAGCTAAATTAAATTTTATCATGGCTCTTGGCCAAAAAAAAAAAAAGAAGTACAGTAATGAATCTTTACACAGGGTTAAATGCACAGCAGTATTAAAACATCTCCATAACTAAAGATGGAACACACAAGCTATGAAGAGGGTAAGCCAATTAAAACACAAGTCTGTCTATCTATCTATCTATCTATCAATCAATCTATCTATCTATCTATCTATCTATCTATCTATCTATCTATCTACTTATCTATCGGAATATGTGTGTATATATGGAACTATGTATGTATATATGAGAATATACAAAAACATATACTTGTACATATGTGCAAGTATATTTCCATATACATGTTCCCATATATACATACGTGTGTTTATACATATGTCTATGTGTAAAATGCATATATTCCCATATATATGTATACACATACACACATATACTTCCATGTATATGTCTCAGTGTATATATAGATATCACTGTGTGAATACACACACACACATACATATATATATATATATATACATACACACACACACACACACATATATATATATATATATACACATGCACACACACACACACACACACATACACGTATACACACACAGATCACTGAAGAATTCGCCAAGACAGTTCACTTAACAAGCACACGCTGTGTGTTCTCCAAAAGTCAGCTGTTGAATTGACAGGGGTGGAAAGGTTCATTGCTGGGAACGTTCGCATTGCTTGATCGTTCAGTTAGTTGAACTGAGAGTGGAAGTCAAAGAAGGATTACAACACAAACACGCCTGTCTTCGCGGTGACCTTATTTAGTGCCTGACAAGGGACTTTATAAAGTCCCAACTCATCAAGTTTTGACCACGTTCCCCAAATAAGACAAATTGAACTCTCCTTTAACTTTGAAAATAGCTGCTGTTAGCTCAGATCATGAAACTCTCATTACCCAGAGAAATACTGCAACAAAAATGCAAACAGCAGAACATGTAATGATCCTTCAACATCGATTACTATTTTCAATTTAAAATCAATTAACGTTAAAATGAATTAAAGATGAGATTCTGGGAGCCAGGCGCCCAGTGGCTCACGCCTGTCATCCAGAAACTCATTAGACTGAGATCTGAGGATCATGGTTTAAAGCCAGCCAGGTAGGAAAGTCCATGAGACTCTGATCTCCAACGAACCACCAAAAAGCCAGAAGTGGCGCTGTGGCTCAAGTGGTAGAGCACCAGCCTTGAGTGAAAGAGCTCGGGGCCAGTGTCCAGGCCCTGAGTTCAAGTCCTGGGACTGGCAGGCCCACGCCACCAGGACAGACTTCAGTGTCTGCTCTTGGCTTCAGATACAAGAGGAAAGCCAAGAGAAGGTTCAGCTCCCAGCCGCTGCTGCCCAAAGGGAAGGTAAACCCTTGGGTTCGTTCAGTGGGAAGGCAAGGAAGACATGCATTTCTTCCTCTTATTCTCATTCTCTTAACGATGTTACCTACACCTGCGAAAAACATAAGGCTCTCCGTGTGTGTGTGTGTGTGTGTGTGTGTGTGTGTGTGTGTGTCCTGGGGTTTGAACTCAGGGCCTGGGCGCTGTCCTTGAGCTCTTTCACTCAAGGCCGGCGCTGTACCACGAGAACCACTTCTGGCTTTGTTTTGGTGGTTTATTGGAGATAAGGGTTTTGCAGGCTTTCTCGCTCAAGCTGGTTATGAACCGTGATCCTCAGACCTCAGCCTCCTGAGTAGCTGGGATGACAGGTGTGAGCCACCGGTGTCCAGCTTAGAGTCTTTTTCCTGTTGTTTTAAGTTTTTGAGAGAGAGAACGGCGGCGATTATGCCCCTCCCCCTTCTTGGGGTATTATTTCTTTAAGAGCCACGCCACACTCCATTGACGTAACAAGTGGTATCAGTTAGACCGCGCATTTACTGTGAAGACACAACTATAGCTTAGATTTGCATGAAATTTATATTTACAGCTATATTTATCTAAAATTAATATCCACTGAATTAATATCTATTGAAATTGAGAACAAACAGAAGAGCTGTTGAATTAATTACATATCTATATTTATCTACCTACCTATCCATACACCCATCTACCTATTTATCTATCTACCTATCTATCCATCCACCTATCTACTTATCCATCTACATATTCATCTATCTATCTATCTACCTATCTACCTACCTACTTATCTATCTATCTATCTATCTATCTATCTATCTATCTATCTATCTATCTATCTATCTATCTGTCTGTCTCTCTGTCTGTGTGTGTGTCTATCTATCTATCTATCTGCCTACTTACCTACCTACCTACTCATCCATATTATCTACCTATTCATCTATCTATCTATCTATCTATCTATCTATCTATCTATCTATCTATCTATCTATCTATCTATCTATCTATCTATCTACCCATTCATATTATCTACCTATTCATCTACCTATTCATCTATCTATCTATCTATCTATCTATCTATCTATCTATCTATCTATCTATCTATCTATCTATCTATCTATCTATCTATCTATCTGCCTACCTATCCTTCTATATCCATCCATTCATCCATCCGTTTTCCTCTTCAAGCACATTGTTCCTAGCCTGTGATCTGGTGCTTATCATGAGACTCTTACCTGGCGGTCAGCAGGCCCAGAGCCTCTGAAGGATGAAGAAATGTCCATCTTCTCGCGATGATTTGCATTTCCACCACGGTTCTCTCGTCCCAGCCCGGGGTGCTGCCCAGCACCAAAGGAAGGGAACAGTTTTCAGGATTGCAATGGAAGCGGTAAAACCACAAATATCTCCTCTTTTCCTCAGAGAGCCTGAAAAATAATCACACACACACACACACACACACACACACACACACACACACACACACACACACACACACACCACGACATATTAGAAGCTGTCATCTTCCAAACGAATTCACAACGCCAACCCCTGACTGCAGTTCTTTGAGTTTTGTTTTGATTCACTCTGGAAGGTTAGTTGTTTTCTTGCTTCCTTTCTTTTTAACTCTTGGAAAGTGAAGAAATCTAGCTGATCCATGTGGTTATTTCCTACTAACGACCTTCTTTCCCTAAGTAAGTGAATGAATAAGCACATCTTTCGTTCAGTGAAATCATTCTCACTCTGCCTCCCTTTGCCATTTCTTCTTCTTTTTTGTTCTCAGTTTTCATTTTAGGTGGCAAAATTCTGCCACCTCTTGAGGGAAAATAACCTCTCTCTCTGCATCTGGTCCACCATGAATCCTGCCTTCTGTTGGGCAAATGAACTTAAAGCTGAATGGGTTCCTCAGTAAGAGGACATCTTTTTAGAACAGGAGACGCCTTGCTTTCAGAGCTAGTTTTGGCCTAGTTCACCCCTACTCTTCAGTGTCAGCTCCCCAACATAAAGATCTCAATTCATTCTGCTTGATTTCCCCGCCCCCCCCCCCCGCCCAGCTTCCAGGGTTCACTGGAAGTGTGCAGACCAGTTGGAAATTTCTGGAGTTTCTTAAAGCCTCCAGTGTTTCTCCCCGACATAAGAAAGTTCCAGAATAGAGAGCTCTCAGGCCAGGGCAGGCCAGGGTGCCTGACTTTCTGACAGCTCGGCCTGTTGGCTGACTGAGGGCCATGAGCACTCACAACTTTTGACCTCTGACTTACCCCCCCCCCAAAGACTGTCAGCCTAAATAATCAGCCCAGACTCCCAAGAGGAATAAGAAATGGGAATTAATAATTAATTAATTTGTCAGTCCTGGGGCTTGAACTCAGGGCCTGGGTGCTGTCCCTGAGCTTCTTTTGCTCAAGGCTGGCGCTCTACCACTTGGCCCACAGCGCCACTTCTGGTTTTTCCTGTGCATGTGGTGCTGGGGAATCGAACCCAATGGTTCATGCATGCAAGGCGAGCGCTCTACCCACAGAGCCACCTGCCCAGCCTTATTGTTTAAGTTTTTATAGGATTGATTTCCATTCAAGTAGTTGGACAGCAAGGTTTCAATTCTGCATGGTGGTGTGTGTAAAGACAATGCATCTTGATTCATGACTCTCCTTCCCTTCTTCCTCCCTCATCTTCTCCCCCCTCCCTTCCAGCTGCCTAGATCCATAGTCACATCTGGACCTGGGATATGCTAACTGCATTCTCTCTCCCTTCTGCACTTCATTCGTCCATCTGTTGCCCTTTTCCTTGACCTCACCCCTAACTCTCCACGATGGGCAAATACGTTCTTGACGCACTAGATTTATGTCTGTTCATGGCTTACATGCCAATCTGTAATTCAGCGCTAGCTCAGCCACACAGAAGAATTCTTCTTACGAAATGATTCAATAAAGTTCTCCTTGCCCATCGATAAAAACAAAAAAAACATGGACAATGGTAGAAGATAGGAGATGACCAGAGAGGCTTTTCTAGCTACATCGCTAACACCCGCAGATTCGTCCTCTCTGTGGCTCCTCCCACCCTGTCCCCCAACTTCTTTCTCTTGTAAAAGTTCTTTGTGCTCTTTAGGATAGAGATGGAAGATGAAAACGGTCATCCTGTGGTCTTCTCAGCTAGCTATTTGTGGTTTTAGTGTCAGTTTACTTGAAGTCAGAGTCTTGTTCTATCTATCTATCTATCTATCTTTGTCAGTCCTGGGGCTCAAACTCTGGGCCTGGGCACTGTCCCTGAGCTCTTTCACTCAAGGCTGGTGCTCTACCACTTGAGCCACAGCTCCACTTGCAGTTTTTTGGTGGTTCACTGGAGATCAGAGTCTCACGGACTTTTCTGCCCCGGACTGGCTTTGAACCGGGATCCTCAGATCTCATCCTCCTGAGTAGCTGGGATGACAGGCGTGTGTTTTCCACATTGAAGTGAGTGCTTTCATTTCTTTCAGTATAAATGGTTTTCTATGCTTCATTTTAGTGCAGTTTTCAGAGCTGGACTCTTTTTTTTTGGCACATTAAGAATATTAAACAACATATATGTTTTTAAGCTGGGAGTAATGACTCACACCTGTGATCCCAGCTACAACTAGAGGCTTTGATCAGGAGGATCACAGTTGGAGGCCATCCTGGTCAAAAATGTCAGCAAGACTGCATCTCAATCAATTAAAAAAAGCTGAGCACAGCAATACACACCTGCCATTCCAGCTATGGCAGGAAGAATAAATAAGATGGTGGCCCAGGCCTGACTTGGAAAAAAGTGGAACTCCACCTCAACACAAGCAAATAAAAAAGAAGACAGACAGGAGGCATGGTTCAAAGGGTAGAGCACCCGCCTTGATGTGTGCGGGCCTTACCTCAAAGCTGCAGAACAAAGGATAATATTGTTATTTTCCATAGATTTTCATTTTTGCAGATGTCCTGGGCACATTTTCACATGTCTGAATCTGATGACATTTTATTAACTTGAAAGGAGAACCAAGTAGGTCATCGAGCAAATGATAAAAAAAAATTTTTTTTAAAAATGTTCCAGGACTTTAGTCTGCAAACAAAATGATATTTGGAAACTTGAGGGAATCTGATTTGAAAACAAGTTGTGCCACGTCGAAGGCTGCTCCCCATCTGTTTTTCCTAGTCCAGAATGACACCGCACGGTACCAAATGTGAATAATTAGAGCCAAGTGGGAGAAACAGAAGAAAATGTTGCTTACGGCATGTACACCAGCAATACAAATAGAAACCGGAGCAGCAGACATGGAGCGCTCACTGGAGGTTCATTTCAAAACAGGCACCGGTAGTATTGATCGGCCGTGAGTTTGAGTCCTATTTATTGTGCTCGACTGCTTTGGCTGGGAGATATTTAAAATTCTGAAGCACCATGACTCCTGTTTTATTTTTGATTAATAATCTGCGCACAAGTACTCGTAAACTGACGTGTTGAATTGAGGCCCTTTTGTACAACTACTTAAAAGGTTATAGATGTAAAGATGATATTATTATCATCTGTGTATTAAATATTGTACTTATCTTTAGTATATATATAATCATATATATATATAGAGAGAGAGAGAGAGAGGGAGGGAGGGAGGAGCAGGTAATGAGGGATGGACGTGGAGAGATGGGGAGAAGATAGAAGGGGAGCTTTAGTTCAAGATGCATCCTCCTCATAAACTGACATCTTGAACTGAGACCCCACTGCACAGCTACTTAAGGATCATTTAAAACAAATAACTGAATAAAAATGTACAATGCTCTCTGCGTCCTGGGGACTCAGAGACTCTTCTACCATCTTTAGTCCTGAAATCAATGTTTGGAGCAGACTCTCCATGCAGGGATGTGTTGATTTCGCGCATCCAATCATTTCCTTCATCTCTCATATCACTGGAAATGAAGCCATGGGCGAACCTCCTGGCTGCCTCTTCTCCCCCACTTCCTTCCCACTTATCAGGGAGCCAAGCCTGAACCCAGGGCTGAGCCAGGAAGCCATTGCTTGTGACTGGCTAGATTGAATAGAATAAGTTGTATTTACATAAGGTTATCCCTAAGACAGCAGGCCCCACCCCTCTGCTCTGATTGGCTGAGCTCAGCTCCACAATCTACTTGTGATTGGCTGGTTTGAACAGGGTAAGATGTATTTACCTAAGATTATTTCTCTAATACAACAGGCCCCACCCCTTGCTCTGATTGGCTGAGCTCAGGTTGACAGTCTGCTTGTGATTGGCTAGTGTGACTAGGGTAAGATGTATTTATTTACAGGAGGTGATTTTGAAAGAAGCTTACCACCACACAAATAATCTCAAAACACACCCAGGCCCTCTGCTATTTCTTGAACAGTCTGGAAAAGCAATCCAGTTTTAGACAAAACCTGACTCTCCACAAATCCTTTCTCCTAGGTCTCTTTGAGAGATGAAATTTAAATGGAAATTTCAGAGTGACGTGATTGAATGCCGTGATGAGGTCCCAGGACAGAGACTGAGGGACCAAAGAACAAATCCTGAGGTTATAATTGTACGTAAGTATATATATTGTCTAAGTATATCTGAGTACATATATGTATATATCATATATTATATTGTATCATATAATTATATGTATATATCATATATTATATTGTATCATCTAATTATTTATAATCTAATATTTTATCTTATGTAATATTTTATTCATTTATATATATTTATATAATAAATAATATTTATAATATATAATATACATTTTGAAATTACATACTATATAATCAGGTATTATATATCAGAATAATAAATTATATTAATATGTAACATTTAATATTTTAATGTTTATTACTTAATAATGTTTATTATATAATAATATTGATAGACATTTCAATAAATTATAGAGATTGCAAAGCATAATCCATAATGAATTCGATTACGTATTATAGCATATACTGTATGTGCACATAACTATATGCTCACGTCTGTGTGCTAATCTGTGTCATAATAGCATTAGCCTGAGGTGAACAAGGGCAATCAGAGGTGACTTATTGATTCCAAGTAACCAGCACCAATAATCACTAATTACCTTAAAGCTTGGCTTAGGGTCTTGGGATCACTGAGAGAATAGCTGATACAAACTGATTCCCAACCTTTATCCTTCGCTTGAGTCAAGTCAAAGGGAATGAATACACAGGGGCCAACGAATCCTTGAAATCCTACACCAGGGCTTCCTTCGTACCTAGCGACGAACTGATCACACGGCAAAGGTGGTCGTGTGTGACTGGGAAGGGAGAGGCTTAAAGTGTGATGAGTGTGTGTGTGTGTGTGTGTGTGTGCAAAAAGACACTCCAAGACCTGGGTCACTCACAGTAGGGGCGATTGCTTCTGTGAAAGTCTGGCGATGTGTTTTAAACACTCCTGGGGTGGGTCTTCCAACTCCACGCTGCTCTCTTCCAAATCAGGCTTCATACACCGCCATCCCGTTTCTGGAAAATCAATCTGAAATAATAAAAAGAAAAGATTTGCCAAATACTAAAGGTGGCCCCAAAGGCACCGTGCATTCCATCAGCTCTCTGGCACGTCTTATGATTATCTTTAAGTAGTTGTCCAGGGAGGTTTCCATCCCATGGGGCAGTTTGTGAGTGCAATGCATCTTGGTCCGTGTGGCTCCTTCCCTCCTTCTCCCCCAGCCCTCCCCTCCCCTCTCCTCCCTGGCCATCTCCTCATTCTATGTTTCACATCTAGTCATTCAGTATCTGGACTGTCCTCATCTACCTTTCCTCTCTCTGATTTGGACTTATAGAAACTCTGTTAATTTAGGATAATAGAAACTGCAGTATAATTCTTCCTTATACTTGATGTTATTTGTCATTTAAGCATAATTTATATATATATAATATATATATATTATTATAAGAATTGTTAAAGTTGGGCACTGGTGTCTCACGCCTGTCATCCCAGCTACTCAGGAGGCTGAGATCTGAGGACTGTGGTTCAAAGCCAGCCTGGGCAGGAAAGTCCATGAGACTCTGATCTCCAAGGAACCACCAGAAAACCTGAAGTGGCTCTATGGCTCAAGAGGTAGAGCGCCAGCCTTGAGCAAAATGGCTCAGGGATGGCGCCCAGGCCCTGAGTTCAAGTCCCAGAACTGACAAAAAACAATTAACAAACAATTAAAAAAAGAAAAAGGAATTGTTAGACCTTGGACTTGATATTTAAATATACATGAAATTTGGCCCAATTTTTATACATGTAGTGTCTATTAGTGTCTTTAATGTTGTCTTAGAGATAACAACATGAATTTTTCTGAAATTATATTTCTGTTTAAATGATGGCGATGATATCCTTGGTACACTTTGGAGTTAAAAACGTCCCTTCTTTTATGAAACAAAGACATTTGAGGACAAGAAGCCCTCTGTGTTCATGCAATCATCTGAGGAAATTCATGTTCTGGAATCTGTCAGTCTGGGGAGTTTTTCAAGACATCTTGCCTGTGAATTACATTCTGTCATTAAGTAGGATAGTTGTGCTGTGCTTTGAGGTTCAGATTTCTAGACAAGGGCAGTGCCCAGGCCTCTGCTTTTCCAGATTCAGGTACCTTCAGTTCAGGCTCATTCCACTGAGAATCCCATCCCAGGAACAAAGAGCAGTGATCAGAACTGAACGTCCACGTTGTCGCTGAGCTAGATAGGCAGAGCTTCATTCACTTA